AGAAAATTTACTTTAATTAGAACTGTACGTACATCCTCTTTTTAAGTACATGTGAGACATACCTCTGGTACACATTCTATAAAGTTAGTATTAAGATCATATGAAGTAGGATGATGGAAATTGTAGCAATGTTAATTTTTATAGTGGTTTTGTTCAGTTGCATGATTACGCGATAAATCAATTTAAGCATATGAACTTCTGCATACCAATGGGGGGAATTACTTCATTGTTTCTGTATTTTGTGTTTTGCTTATGTTTTTTTATAAGCATCAATATAGGTAGAAGAAGTTTTATGTCATTTTGTGCTAGTGTTAAATTATAACTGCAAAAACCAGTATGTTACAAGTTGAATGTTCTGTACATAAACATAAACATAAACATAAATAGAGATGCAGAAATCTATTGGTCACCTTCAGGTGACAGTCAGATCCCACTTCTGCATTTTAACTTATAGCAAATGGTACTAAAAAAAATATTGGTGTGTTTAAAGTTGAGCCATTTTTCATTCAAATTCAATTCATTTTATTTGTATAGCGCATTCATCAACAGACAGTTATATCAGGACACTTATTCAAATAGAGCGGTCTAGACCGAATCTTTAATAAATTATTTACAGAGACCCACAGTACCCAACCATGAGCAAGCACTGTGGCGACAAGGGCAAGGAAATTGCCTGTTGAAAGGGCGAACCTAGGACAGATCCTGTCGGCTCTAGGTGGTGTTGTCTTGTCTCGACCAGTTGGGGTGAGGAGGAGAGAGAGAGGCGAGAGAGAGACAGAGAGAGAGAGAGAGAGAAGACAGGGCAGCAACACAGTATTTGGTATGGCAATCTAGCAATTTTTATATAACCCGATCAGCCCAACATTATGACTAACTCTGCACCTGGCTTTATTCAGTCTGAATCCAGGGAACATCAGTCCTTGATGAGGACCAAGAAAGAATATCTTACATATTTCTTTTTGTTTATGCTGAGGGTTGTTCACATAATAATATATGATTAGCATCCCCTATTTGTCTCGAGTCTTAAAAAAGTATCCTCCTTTGATCATATATCATGTTGTGAGGCATGGTTGTATTACACAAATGAAGGGAATGAGCCTCTTTATTGTCTTTTGTGGCTTTCCGCAGTCAGAACTCAACAAATGATGGGGATTAGAGTTTTCTAAGAGAGGACATGCTGCACAGTCGATTAAATATCTATTCAGACAACAATCAGCATCCAGAAGACACCATAACACTAAGTTCCCTTTGAATTAATAATTTATCTTACACTAGAGCACCACAACAATACTGTGTTACATCAGCATACGTGGGATCACAAAAATCATCATATCATCATCATCATCATCATAATCAACAACACAATACACATAAAAATAACAGTCTGTCGTGACAAAGTTGGTGCTAGCCTTGTTTTCTTTTTCTGCTATTCAGTAAGTCCACTGGAATAAATGACCAGGAGGGGCTTGGGTAGGTCACCTAACATCAACATCACTTGATAAGGGTGGGGGTGGGGGGTGGGGGGCAGGTCTGAACTACTTAAGATTTGTAGGTATTTTAAAATAGTAATTAAAACAGATCAGTGCAATTTTGTTTATTAATAGATACAAAAGATCAGACTGCAGACAGCTTTGAAGTTTGTGGGGAAAAAATGTTGGCAGGAGATGAAGTACAGAGCAAATTAAAAGAGGCTGTTGGGGGGTTGGGGGGGTTGGGTACATGTTGTAATACTTTGCTCAAAGAGCATTTTTGGAGGGTCAATATCTACTATTCATATAACCCTTCTATATCTTTCATTAAATAATTCCGACAGCGTTTCTCAAACATGGCTCATCTCCTTACCAAAGACAGCCTCTCCTTTCTCCAGCATGCTTTCCTAGCTAGTGCAATTAAACTGTGCTGTGCTGAAGCGGACAAGGATAGCACCACTGTAAATTTTTTAAGCTTAGGAAATGTCATCAGCTTCTTAGTTTTCTGTAAGTGTGGAAAGCCACTAATTATTCAATCATGAGTACTGGTAAGCACATCAATATACACTAAAATGGGACATGAAGGAACTAAATGTTCACTGACTTTTTTCTAGATATGAATAAAATCTGTCCATTAACAACATTAAAAGAGGATATTCCGTTTATTAGCAAATGGGTCTATTTTTGTTGTCAACTGTCTGTACAGGAGAGCAGACAGACAGATGTTGTTAGAAGTGTTCAGATATCAGTACTTTAGTAGCTTCTAACTGAATCTCTGTGCTTTGAAGTTTAGTTTCTCTCCTCGCTGTAAAACAATCAGAAAGTAACGTAAGCAACATTTATTTATTTGATTCACTGTTTGCTAATGCTGCTCCCTCTCTTCATTCGGTCTTGAGCTCTCTTGACCATCTCTGCTCTCTGCCTGTAAAGGCACACCTTCCAGTGGTTAGCCCTGTTGTAAAAACCTACTAGAAACTGGTGACGTGTGGTGGAAGAGAGGACCACACGCCAGGCTTGCTCTACCATAGGAAAACAACGGTTTGGCAGGCAATGTGTTTCTGTGGGATTGGCCCCTAACCCTGAAATTCCACCGGGCACAGCTTTGCGACATCGCATCTCCTACGAGAACGTTTCAGAAGCATCTTCAGAGCGTGTTGCCTGCCTCATGTTGTTTACTTGTGTATTTTGTCACAAAACGGTGTGTTTCCCTGCTTCCCATGTTGGTCTAGCATGAATTTTGATTCTGTGTCTGCACACAGTAGTCAATTTTGAAAATTGACCGGATTCTCTATGCCGTTTCTGTGTTTGACTTCCTGTCAGTGCAATTTGCTCTGTGCTGCTTGACACAAGTGGGTTGTGGCTTCTATCAAAAATAGACCAGCGTGTGTAAATTCCACCAGCTGGGTATTCTATGCTTCTGGTGGAATTTTAAGCATTGTCTAGAATAAGCAAAAACTTCAAAAATAAGACCATTGTGATAACAGACCGGAATTTTCTTTTAAGTCACTCCAATGCGATTTAGATCTTTGCTCATGTGGTGGCTTTTTCATGTAATTATCAAAATTAAGAATTGTATAACTTCTGTAAAGTACAAAATGGAGTAGGTATTATATATCATCAGTGCGAGGTTGACACTTTCCACCATTCTGGGTAAAAATTTGCAGAACCATAACCATGAACGTCTTAAATAGCAAAACAATGGAAAGATTTAGGATATGACAAAGGAATTCCAAACAAAGACAAACACAAATGAGGACGTGGTGTGGTATGAAAACTGTGGAGGGGTGAGGTTAGGGGAGAGAAGCGGTGGGATGGGGGATTTCACATATAGACACTTATCACTTATACTTCCAGTGTTTGCCTTACTCTCGTGTCTCGGTGTGACAAGTGTGTGAGGTGATGCATGTTGACAGGGCCTTCAAAATGCAAAAAAGGGCATACCTGTACAAAAAACATATCTGTGTTACTGTATGTGTATGATTGTATGTATGCATAGCATGTATGTGTCTTGTGCAGTGGGATCAACCAAAATATTCCCATGACTTTGATACCACTGCTAAAGATTATTATACATACATATTTTCATTAGACGTGTTCCACCAGCTGAAATTTGATTTCAAAGTTAGCAGTGCAAATGCATACTGGAACAGGCAGACAATTGAAACAATAACCAGGGCTGTTGTCAAAGCAACTGCTTCATTAAAATGATTGGTAGCTAAGGAATTGTGACCCAAATATGGGTCGGTGGCAGGTTTTTATGTTGACATTTTTATTTTGCACTTTTCTTATTGAAAAAAGCTGGCTGATCACCTTGCTTTATCAGTGACAAGCTAATACTGTCAGTTGGAATCTCAATAAATTTCAATATAGTCTTCTTCAAAACTAGACCAGCTTTATTCAAAACTTAAATTAAAAATAATTGTCTTAATGTAAGTAATGAACTGGGAAAGTTTCATGGTGATATGTATTAGTGAAAATACTTTTGACCTGTACCGTCTCTCTTTAACATGTAAAACAGTCTGGTACACATTCTATAAAGTTAGCTATAAAACATAATGTGTGGAAATGTGTACATTATTTCATGGTTTTCAGTTGCTGTAGGATCATAATTAAATGTCGGGGCATTCTTCATTTTTGCTGCCTTTTGTTTGCTTTGTTTGGCCTCATAAGAAGAAGAAGAAGTCATTGTGCAGTACCAAATAACTGCAATGGCTCTCCTCCAGGAGAAGAAAGTTTAATGGGTGCATGTTGACACTGGGTTTGCCAAAAATTACACAACAAACTGAAGGCAAACTGCAATCTGGACTCGTGCTCATTGTTAAATTCTCTGCACACATATACACACTGCTTGTCATTGTCAGTGTTAACCCATGTCCACCATATACTGCAATGCAACACTGTACTGCTGGTACTTAGCATTGGTATCAAAGT